AGGATATGGCCATGCTGCGCCAAACATGGTGTAAACTGTGACCTAGAAATTTTAAAAAATGGGAGGAGGGAATGGAAAAATAGGTTGACAAGAAAGTCTAAAATAGAGAAGGATCGCTAGAGTATGCCGAGGGGGCGACATCCGTGTTTAACAAAGACAGCACACCTCATTGGAGGAAAATATATATATATGGGTACAAGGAATCAGAATGCCCGTACTTACCTAAAAAAAAGTAAGCCCGTGAAAGGATCGTGATATGGAAGATATGGAAAATATGGAAACGGGGCTATGAGATGTGAAATGATAAAAGTTCAATCGAAGTATTGTAGAATCGAATGGAGAAATAAAAATTTTAAGTTATATATTATCTCTAACTTAACTGTTTCGTTTTTCCTGTAGGTTACAGCTATCTTTGTTCAATGTTAAAAAACAGGAAGCAAATACGCAATATTTTTTTTCCAGGATTAAAGAACAGCATACATTTAAAGAGACACGAGGAAGGTTGATTTGTTTATGACGACGAAATATTTAAATTTTAATGTTAAATGTTAAAACATCATTTGGAAAGAAAAGGGTTGTTTTTCATCACGAATGTGTAATATAAAAAAAAACTTGCTGTTTTGTATTCAAAGAAACACTTCACATTTATAGAATTCTCATTACTTGCTAATCAGGAAAGAACTGCAATCTGTTGCTGATTTTTGTTCGCTATGAAACTGCGAAAATAGAATTTGAATAGTATCTCCCATTTTTGTTTTGTTATTCGTAATCTGTATATAGATAATCTCCTCGGTCTTCTAATTTATAATCCATAGTCTCTTGGCTAAAGGAGATAACTGTTTTCTTTTCAATTAAAACTTATTTTAAGGTTAAGGAAAATAAATAGTATATCCTCTTAATCTTAATCACTTCTGATGTCAAGTTTTAATTTTTTTTTTTTTTTTTTTGCTGATCCTTTGCTTTATTTCAATAGTTCATTTATCTGTTCTAATAATCTTTCAATTCTTATACTCGTAAAGTAGGAGCTATTTATCTTTTTTGTTCGAAGGATTTCTCTGTTGAAAGAGTGCAAACTACTAACCCGATCTCGCTTACGACCCCCCCCCCCATCTTCCATGGACCATTTCCCTATGCATACGTAATGCCAGGCTTGATTGAAAAATAAGGCCTGCTTGTGAATAATTTTATTTGCTGAACGATTCACAAAACTCTTGTACCTGAAGGTTACACGAATAATCTATGTAATATATTTGTTTTCTTTGTTTTCAGGTGTCGTTGGTGTGCTGAAAATCGAAAATTGCTTCCCTCATAGAGATTAGTTTGAAACAGTGAGATGTCATTGCACCTGACGTTGCCCCTTGCGACTTTCTCCTCTTCCTAAGATGAAAGAGCACCAAAAGGGGCATCTCTTTTCTGTGGACGTGATGATAGCTGTCATTAAACCCTGCTGTCGATAATAACCATAGGAATTTTTTTCCGATACGGTTATCGTGACTAGTATCATGTTGGCGCAAATGTTTGGAAAGGAATAGGAATTCTGTCAAAAAGTGAACAGAGGACACATGAAGATATCAAAAACAAAGAGCATTTTAAAAATCGGATAACAAATAATACTATAGAAAATGCTGCTCTCTTCAATTATTAATCTATTCGCATAAATTAGCATCGAGAAATGTACGTTGGTTCAATGGACCAAGTGGAAATGATAGAAAAAATAAAATTGCCCGAAATGCCTAGTAAAAATAAGGGACACAAATTCACATAAATAACAACACCAAATATTTTAATGACGGGAAAAGTTTATATTTGAAAAAGTTATCCAAGATTTTGATTGTTCTTTAATATCACGCAAAAGTAACGTTAAGATTTTTTTTTTTTTCGGAAAATCATTTTAGATTCATCAGTAAAATAATGATTTATTCTCGGTTACAACAAAATTTTGAGGAAATTATAAGCATTCATTTCGATTTACCTTAATTTTAAATGAATGCTTTTTATAATCGTTTTTAAACGCTTCATAATATTGTTTCTAACAAGACTACAGGCATACTAAATTTTTGGATTTTGTTCAATTCAACTCCCTTTTTAAAATAATTCATTGAAGAATTTTGAGAAAAATGAAAGTAATTTACATTTTTTTTACGTTTCTTGAAATCAGCTAGAAAATATTATGAATAGTTAAAGTTCACCTCAACTTAGTATTGCAAAGTCAATCATGATATCAGAAAAAATAGCAGTTAGTAAGTTGAAGATTATAGGCGCAAGAGCCAGAAGTGGCTATGCTGCTCCAAACAAAGATGTAACTGTGGTCTAAACGTGAAAAAATTGAAAAAAGATAAAAATTGGTTGACAAGAAGGAGGATCGAAAATAAAGAAGGATCGCTAAGGTACCCCGCGGTGCGTCCCCCGTGTTTCCCAAAGACAGTAAGCTCCATTGAAAAGAAAAAGATCACTGGGGTGTCTCGGGGTCATGATGCCCGTACTTACCTAAAGAAGGCAAGCCCCTGAGGTCCCCTGATATAATCATATAATCCCCAGGGACAGAGTACCCAGCTGTACCCCCTGACGTTAGATACCCATTTTAGTCGCCTCTTTCGACATGCATGCGCTACAGTGGGACTATTCTATCATACCCGATCACCACATGAGTCAGAAAAAATAGCAGATAATATTCAATAAGTCTATTCGATCATCGCACCACACCGATCTTAAAAATAGTTTTAATTAGGTTGGATTAAATTAATTACAACTACTTTTCCAGGAAGTATTTATAGGAGATGTAATGAAATATTTTAAATCAGGTATCTATGGATTCCCTGTGGAAAATTTTTAGAGCTCGTGAACTTGAAAGGTAGAATTTTAACTTTTTTTAAAAATGTTAATGACAGCAAATTACTTCTTGTATTTCCTTCAGTTAATGATGTATTTAATAAATTACAGTTGTACATTGTACACCTGTTATCAAAAACATCTGATCATAATTTAATGTTTTTATTCCAAATGAATATTAATGCTTATTAATAAATTACAGTTGTACAGTTCACACTAACGTGTTCTCAAGAATTTTTTTAAAGTTTGCGAAATTGGGAAGTTTATGTACACAACAAAAATAAATCAATTATCACTTAAAAACTAGATGTCCTTAAAATGTAATCTCCATACAATAATACTGTTCAACAACGGAGGAAAAAAATCCTTTTTACATAAACTACTTAAAGATGCAATATACATATCTCTGGACAGGTTGTCCGAACTTTCTCAACCGGGAAGTGGCATAAAATTATAATAACCTAAAACCACTAGTAGTAATAAAACAAATATAATATATATAAAGAAATCCAGAACACTCTCTTCTCTCTTCCAAACAAATTAGTTCTTAAAATATACTGCAAGTTTTGCACAAGTTCTTCTCAAAGCTGTAACTCATAGCTAATAACCGAATTCAAAATTCATACCTATCAGGCTCAAGATATTAAAGAATTCATGAATATATGTAAAAGCATATTACTTTACCTAAAAAATGCATTAGCTGAAGTATACACAGCGTCGAAGCGATATTCTAAGTTCACTCAAGCCCATAAAATATTCGCTATTGCAGAGGGTTTTCTCCTCTCTGCAAACTCCACCTCTCTGATTTCTCCTAAATTGTTTTTGTGTTTCAATTTACATCTCATTTAACTCCCTCAACAAAAATAATCAACACCGATAAATTAGAGGTCAAAAAAAAAATTTTTTTACTTATTCTTTAAGTACGGACGCAGTAGAGACCCGCTCTTCATGTATAATAGATATTGAATTCTGAACACCCGTCAATTCTCTGGATAAGAAATCAATTTGATTTCCTTCGTTGTCTGACTATTTAATTAGAAACTCAGCTTACTGTCTAGTAATGGCACAATTAAATGGTGTAATGGAAACCAGAGCATTATAGTAATAGTTACCTAATGATAAAAGTTATAATTATTAACTTATCAGACAATGTTCGACTGAAATTTTACCGTCATAATGCTTTTGATTATTAAAAGTTAATAATGCTTCCCTTACCTGTCTTCGCTCATACTCCTGAAAAGTAACACACATATTCTTATTAAATCTCTCTTTTTTTTAGTAAAGAATTATAAACTCGATGTATTTTCTTTACAATTGATCATTTAAGGAAAAATTTTAAGAATATTTATTTCATTTCTTGTCTGAGCTTCTACTTCCGGCCTTAAGAGCGCACAAGAAAGGCAATAACAATTTGAAAAGTACAAGATTGACACTAAAACCTGTAGGGAAGTAAATTTCACGAAAAAAAAAGGGCTACAGACGGACCTCGAATGTTGAAACACTTTCAAGTGATGAGGATCACACTGAAAACTTTGAACTTCACTTCCAAACTTTCAACAACACTATGAGAATTTGAATTTGGGACATTTTCAACTTGCATCAGCTCCATACCGTGGACCGGTCGTAAGTCTCCGGGGTGGGGGGATCTTAAATCGGACTCGAATGCATAAACACCACGTTACCGAAGTGTAGTTGGATTGCAAAATTACAAGCGCGTTTTAACTACAAAACTGAACTAAAACCCCAATATTTGGAAACTGAGTAGCTATTGGATATTTCTGTAATTTTGAGGAAAGGCTTTAACCTTCAAATCATAATTTAAATTTTTATAGCAACAATAATTATTTCTGCTTCATGCTTTGTTCCAAATGCAGGTAAATTTCTGGATTTCCAAAGCCTTTAAACATACATTGAATAATGCTCTTTATCTAAAAGTAGCTTAAAAATAAATTTATTTTGTTTATTTATTTCATTTTGGTTTCATGATGATGTATTATTGTTCATCTCTTATAAATTCTCCGAATATTAATTTTTATTTATTTCAGTATCAAGAATTGATTCGATTTCATATTAAATCTCTTTCTCTCTCGCCTTTTAATCGATCCTGATATCACTTTGTCGTGAAAGTGAACTTTTAAATTTATTTCTGTCGGTATTCCATCACCTGTGCAGCATCGGTGGTTCAGTGTGGTAGAATGCTCGCTCGTTACGCGGGCGGCCTGTGTTCGATTCCCGGCCGATGCATTGTCATTTTTACTATTTCAACATTTTCTAGTTTGAGTGAAAAATTATTACGCAGTATTAGAATGAATACACTTTCCGCGTTTTCCACTTAATTTATTCCAGATTTTTTAAATGAAAGGCAAATACTGTATTGTGTTCATTTTGATTATTTGAAATATGCAATTATAAATTAACGAGTCTCATAGGAAAGTAGCTGTAATATTTGCATGTATTAACATATATTTGTATACAAAGACTGATCACTATTTAACTTCATCCAAAAAATAAACTAAGATTAGCAAAGAAGAAATGTAGCTAAATATCTAAATTGGTGAGTAAAAGTGAGAGTAGAAACGTTGATGAATTTTCCATGAGTGAATATAGTATTCACCTGCATACCCTTACAAGTACTTTGACTTCCACTTTTGAGTGTTGTACTTTAGAAATCGGGTGAGAGTTGCTTACTAGAGTTCCGAAGCCGCATTTAGTCCCCTGACTGACAACACAGAAGTTTCCTTTCTCTCAGGTATAAAGTTTACTCTTGCCACCAAGCAACTGCCTCTCTTTTTCTGCTACCTCACAGTATGAGCCCCTGCCACTCAAAGCTCTTGTCCCTTCGTCGCGGCTAAGAAATACTGAATTACTAAAAAACTCAAATATATTAATAAAGATCAAGACTTCAATTTTACGTTTACATAAGCATTTGTCTTCATCAGTCATTATATATACAGACCGTATATTCAATCTTTTTGAGTATCCAGTCTTTCTCATCAAAAGTTTCTGAAAGAAAATGATTATCAGTAGAAAGTCATTTTCAGAGAGTACGTCTCAAGAGAAAAGTGATCACAAATTTATGTAAAAAAATATGCAATAATGGAGTAATTATTCAATGGTAATGAGCTTCCTTAAATATGAAGACTTTAACAATGGTCATCCATTGACGTGCGTGACCAGGGCTGCGGAAGCTCATTAGGTCATGGTCACGACCAAGTGGTGAGCTTTTTCTGTGTCGAGGTCTGAGTCCAGGGCACCAACAGAAGACTCGCCGTGCAGGAGTCAAATCTTTTCCGCTAGATCTGGTGAGAAGTTTAGAGAGGGACGTGCCAGCTGAAATCTTTATCCTCGCCACGGTTCAATGTCTAGGGAAGTCCGTCACCAATATCTCTTATAGCTTATAAAATGCGACGTTAATAAGCAATTAATCAAAATTTTTTGATTTACTTTGTAGATGCCTTTTTTAGAAAAATTATTGTGTAAACCGGAAACCGCGTAAAATATAAAAATATTACGTGAAAAGTGGACCATTAACTTACAGATATTTAAATAAGGAATTTAAAATTTTCAATTTATTTATAATATATATAAACTTCATTAACAATATTTGCATTAAAAAATATTAACGCAAATTCACTGCAGATATTCCTTAAGTCAAAACAATGCTGCAACTAATGAACAACAAACCGTACAATAAAAAAAACAACTAAAGAATTCGAGCATAAATTATCGTCATATCTACTTCAACTTAAAACGGAAATAAAAATCAGTTTTGTACTCTTCTTCAGAGCTTTAAACGCCGAAATTCTACTTTCTTTCTTCAAGTATGCAGGTGAACACCAATTATCCTGAGAGTCACCACGAAAATTCATCAACGTTTCTCAAGTACTGCCTCACCAATTCAGATGTTGTTTACCACAGTATTTTCCACTCTCAATCATAATTTACTTTGTAGATGCCTTTTAGAAAAATTCACGAAGGTGTAGCAACTGTTTACTCTGTATAAAATATATGTTAATGAATGCAAATATTTCTTTCGCATGAGTCTCATTTAATTCTGCATATTATCAAATAACGAAATGAACACAATGCATATTTTTTCCATTGAAAACCAGGGTAAATTAATTGCAAAACACACGAAAGTGTAATAATCTTCTCATATTACTGTGTATTAATTTTTTCACCCAAGAACTAGAAAATGCTGAAAAGAAGAAAATATCCTCAGAATTACCGGGAATCTGGGGCTGCCTGGTGGCAGAGCATTCTACCACTGAACCACCGATGCTGCACAGGTGATGGATCACTGATAGAAATAGGAATGAAAGAAAGCAAAAGTAGGGCCATCAAGGTGGGAAGAAAAGGGGGGAGAGTTGCATTTCAACAGAAACTCACCTCGCCTTAAAACTAATATTCGAGAATTTATAAGTGAAACAATACATCATCATGAGCAAAATGAAGAACTACAAATAAATTTATTTTTTGGGCCTTAGTTAACTGTAATATTCGAGAAAAGCATGTTAGCCAAAGAGCGCTTTGGGAAATCATGAAATTTTTAACACTTTGAAACAAAACGAAGGATAGAAATAACTATTGTTATAATAATTTAAACATGATTTTGAAGGTTAAGTTTTTTCCTCAAAATTACAGGTTTGGTTTTATTAACGTCAAAAATTTTTAGAAGCAACACGATAGGCTATTCAAAATTACAGAAAATAGCCGAATAGTTTCATTTTTCCAAATTTTGCCAGTTTAGATTGTTGTTAAAACGGCTTTAGTGCACCGCCTCGGCAACCGAGGTGTTTTGCATTCGAGTCCACTTACTTCACAGACTCCTGAGACTTTAGTAAGTAGCAGAGCTTGATGCACGGAAATGTCCAGCTCTCAAATTCCTCACATTGGTATTAGAAAGTTTGGAGAGGAGGTTCCAGGTCAGTAAAGGTCGTCCATCACTGGAATGTGTTTTAAATTACAAGGCCCGCCGCCAGCCCTCGCAAGCTACTATGCAGCTTTCAGAACAATCAATCCACCTTGCAGTTTCTGTAAAAACCAGTGTAAAATTACGAGGTAGTCTTTTAGCAGCCTCCATGTAACGTTACTCAAATTAATATTAATTATCGCGATTGCTTCAGCATTGTAATTTTATTAGTGTCGTGCACTGAGCAACCGTGAGCTATAGGTGACGTATCCGTATTTTGAACCTCTATCGCTATCGAGGACGACACCTCATCTGGCACCCCCGGTCCAAACTTTCTAGACCACGCCAAAGAGAGATTCTGGAACCTCGAACAACGTGCCGCGTGCAAAGGGTAAAACGGCTAGTCTTGTGCCATCATCCTCGAATCGACGAAAGCAACGTCCACCGTGAGTCTACAACTATGACCATTAGCTGCAGCTTTGGAGTAGAATCAAATTGTCGCTTTGTCATGGCTTTGAGAATTGAAAACCCAGAAAAGAGAAGAAGAACATCAATATCAATACATGATGTTCAATCAACACTTATCAATAAACAATGCATCATTCCACGACAAATAGCAAACCTACCATCACTTTAAACTGAAAAAAACTCCTCGAGGACATCATATATCATTGAAAAAAATCTTGGCTTTCACCATACAAAGGCCCACATTTTATCACTCAAAAGAAAGCTCTTCTTTTCGTCCACAAACCGCATTTATTAAATCCGGCGATCCACTCAAAAGGTGAGGTAAATATGTCTAATCGTGCCATCGCCAAATAAGATGGCTGTCTTCGAGAGGAGTGGCTGTCTCTATGATTTTCGATCATTGTCTAGAAATCAACAGAATAATGAAATGAGAAAGTGGATTTCTTTGTCTGGTTACTGCGTTCTGGATTCTAAATCAGTTAGTGTACTGATAGAATATGGAAAAAGGGTGTTAATACAGGTTTATTAAAGGAAGCAATTTTCAGGTGTTTCGCATGAAGGAACGCAATTAGTGTTTTTGTTAGGTTCTATTGGGGCCAGTATGGTCATAATGGAAAGACTCGCACAATATTTTAAATGAATTTTTCTATCTAAATCTATATTTGTGTGTAGAGTATTGTTTCTGCAGTTAGGTCGCCATTCTTGATCACAAATTAAAAAATTTCAATTTACATTCACTGCTTTCTATTTAGTAATTATTGATGCAAAAAAAAAAGAAGATTATTGAGCGATGATGGTGTCAAACTTTGATCGAATCGAACTGCGGACTAGAGTCCAATGTCCTGCAAGATATAAAGAAAACTACAAGTGAGGTTTCAATTGTTGTTCTGTAACGATCTTAAACTGACCTTCAACCTTGAAATTTTAAATCTTTGATTCAAAATTATAGCATCTATTATCCAGCAAGCCTGTGTAGCTAAGCCAAACTCAACCTTTATTAGTTTGGTTTATTTAAAAACGCTTTAAAGGTGGTCTAAGTGAGTGCAGCCGAGAGATCGTGACAGCAAGCCGCGGCTGGCGATACTGGTCTGAATCCACTTATTGAAGTCCAACCACAAAGATCCGTAGTGTACAAGGGAATTGCTGGCCTTCAAGTTCCTGGTGTCGACGTGATGTAAAGAGACGTGCCACCTCAGGAAATAAACCTTGTTATCTGGTCATGGTTCCAAAATTAATGTTGATATTTATTGATTGTAAGGAGCAGTCCCAGACATGAACAAATGCGTTCACAAAATAGCAAACTCGGATTTTGCTGACGCAAACAAATCCACCTTCTGAAGCACTAAGTTTTAAAAAGAGGGTAGCAGTTCTCATGTGTCGTCCGTCAATAGACCAAGTGCCTACTAATTTATGTCCGTTAATATCTCGTGTTAGTTCTGAGTAGTGCGACTTGATTAAAACCAACCAATATTCCAGCAATCCACTCTGATACAGTAATGTGTTGAAATTCAAAATCATAGACTCCAGTATTACTGTGGTTCCAAACAGACAGATTCTACAGTAAGCAGAAAGTGCATATATTTTAATGTTTTACACCTGAAGAAGGCTCACCGTCAAAAAAACACATATTTAAATTATAGAATAAGTATTTAAAATGTGTATATAAAAGAGAATTAAATTTTCAATGTAAAATTTTATTAAGGAAACACATAGTAAAAAATATAAGACTTGTATATCAATAATGCAATGCCACCTTGTGGGTGTGATATATTCAACATACACATAACTCAAAATACTTAAGATAGAATTTTATCATCATACCTTGTAGGATATCCTTGGGCTTTAATAATTGCTATTCTTTTGC